CCTTTATTTTGTATTATTGTAAAGGGCCGATTGAATAAAAGTCTTTGATATAATTACTGATTTAATTTAATGCTTACTGTTCAGCTAGTAATACCCGAATGGGTGGAAACAGATGACAGATGACAAATCTAAAATATAATGGGTGCGTTCACAATTGCACTCCAAACATTTCAATTAAATACATTACATCATCTTCCCCTAAAAAAAAAATTTTTAATGCATACCTGAATTAAACAATAACGAGAAGAAAAAAAAAATAAAATAAAATAGCTAAATAAAAATTAAACTTGTTGCTAAGTTGCATCTATCTATTCATAAGTCAATCTATCCACTGGCTTGATTACCCTCTTGGGTCTACTAGATATAGCTTGTTCTGAGGCAGGACATGTAATATCTGCCGCAACAGGACTAGTTCTTACAATTGTTTTTCCTAAATCTAAAGATAAATCTGAAACCTCGTTATCACATGTAAAAGTGCCAGAACTGCCAAAAACTGGAATATGAGGCACCACCTCAGTTGTTTGGGTATGCTTTTTGATTTGATTTACATGCCTTTTCCAAGTTTTACTCAGCTCGGGAACCTCCACTAAATACGTACATCTACCCATCTTCTTAACAATCTTACCCTTAATAAAACTAGGTTTATTTACAACTTTATAATTCTTAACTAAAACTATTTCACCAATTTCAAAACTAACATTTTTTCTACCCCCACTATATGCAATTTGTTTTATTTGTTGATTTTCAACCCTTTGTTGCAAAATATCCTTGTCGAAATTGCTAGAAGCTTCTCTAGTACTATCTGAAGGTAAAAGGGTGGAAAACCGAGTTCTTAAAGCTCTTCCGAACATCAGCATAGCTGGACTAACCCCTGTGGTAGAGTGTGATGTATTCCGATAATCAAACAAAAACCTACACATAGCCAGATTGAGATCAGTACCCTTAGAAAGAGCCTTTTTTAAAGCGCATTTGAATATTTTGACGCCGTTTTCAGCAGCGCCGTTAGAGGATGGAGAATACGGTGGGCTAGTTAAATGTTTGATATTATTATTTGACAAAAAGTCTTCAAAATCCGCTGATACCAAAGAAGGACCGTTATCAGACACTAAAAGTTTAGGTAAACCAAAAGTAGCAAAAAGTCTTCTTAATGCCTTAATTGTGAGTACTGTACTTATGCTTGGCATTTCAAACACCTCCAGCCACTTAGAAAATGCGTCTACAATTACTAAGAAAAATCTACTATTTAATTCACAAAAATCGATATGAACTCTCTCCCAAGGACCAATAGGTAAGGGCCAAGGAGATATTTGCGCCTTAGGGGGGCTGTTCGAATGAAATAGGCAAGATTTACAATTTTTAACGATGTTTTCTATATCCTTATCGAGATTTGGATACCAAATATATCCACGAGCTAACCTTTTCATTCGAACGGCTCCCATGTGACTACTATGTAACTCATTTAACAACTCATTTTTCAAAATACTAGGCACCACCAACCTATGGTTCCAAAAAATACATTGGTTCCTAACAAAAAAATCAAGCCTTTTAACAAAATAAGGTTGGAGACGAGCATCATTATTTTTCCTGGGCCAACCTTCCTGTATAAAACCTTTAACTCTTTGCAAAAACTTATCATTGAGGGTAGCCTTTCTAACAGTCTCAAAATTTAACTTTAACTGACTAGAATTGGAGAAAAAATAACAGTAATCGACATCCACTTCATCCTCATTTAAAAAATCCTTACTTTGTGTAGCAGGTAAACGTGAAAGCCAATCTGCCATATTTTTACTACTACTGACATATTCTATTTTATAATTATATCCTGACAAAATTAAAGCCCAACGCCTTAGTCTGTTGGCTGAAAATTGTGGAATGGGCTTATTTTCCCCAAAAATAGCCAGCAGCGGCTTGTGATCTGTTATAAGGGTAAACTTATTTCCATATAAATACTCATTAAACTTTAAAACCCCATAAATGATTGATAAAGCTTCCTTTTCAATTTGTGAATACTTTTGTTCAGCAGGAGACAGAGTTCTTGAGGCATAAGCAATTGGTTTTTCCTCCCCAGTAGGAAACTTGTGACTCAAAATTACTCCAACTCCTACCGAAGAAGCATCAGTAGTTAACCGAAGTTCTAATTTTGGATTGTAATGTACTAAAACACTTGAGGACTTTAATATTTTTTTAATATTCGAAAAAGCTTGTTCACATTTATCATTCCATTCCCATTCAATATTAGCTTTCAATAATTTATAAAGAGGACTTAGAATAGTAGACATATTTTTTACAAATCTACCATAGTAGTTTATGCTTCCCAAAAAAGACTGAAGCTGTTTGACATTTTCTGGCCTAGGGGCCTCATCTATGGCCCTAGTTTTTTCATTCGAAGGATGTAGACCTTCACTATTAATGACAAACCCCAAATATTCAACTTTTTTTTTAAAAAATTGACACTTATTGAAATTAACTTTCAAACCAGAATTTTTAAGAACAGACAAGACCCTTTTTAAATTTTCATAATGTTCTCCTCTAGTTTTTCCAGTGACCAAAATGTCATCTTGAAAAACAGCGACACCCTCCATTGAAATAAAAAGTGAATCCATTATTTTTTGAAATTTTGATGGTGCGCAGGCTACCCCAAATGTAAGACGGTTATACCTAAACAGTCCTAAATGCGTGGAAATGGTCAATAGCTCCTTACTCGGCTCGTCAACCTCAATCTGTTGAAAGGCCTGGGATAGATCTAGCTTACTGTATTCTCCTCCTCCTTGAAGTTTAGAAAAAAGCTGCTCTATTCTGGGCAAGGGATGCTGATCCACTTCAATGCATGGATTGACAGTAACCTTGAAATCACCACAGATCCTTATTTGTCCGTTCTTTTTGAACACGGGGACGATGGGGGTAGCCCAGCTGCTGAACTCCACTGGTGCAATAATACCTAAAGAAAGCATTCTATTAATTTCAGTTTCAACCTTTTCTTTTATGGCGAAAGGTACAGGCCGGGCTCTAATAAATTTAGGGTTGACATTTTTTTTTAAATAAATTTTTTCAACAGCCTTATTGAACAGTCCTAAGCCCGGGGAAAAAACTTCAGAAAACTGTGATGATAAATTTTCTAAATTTTGTTCACAGTAATTCATCATCTTTAAACCAATATCATAAAGTAACAAAAAATCTCTGCCTAATATTGGTGGACCCCCGTTTCTAATTACATAAAATGTTAAATTATTTTCCTTGTTTTGATGCTCAATTTTTAAATTTAAAGAACCCTCTGGCTTAAACTGGTCCCCATTATAAAAAATAAAACACTTCTGTGAGCCTTGCAAAGGATATTTTTTAAAATACTTTAAATATAGTTCATGAGAAAAACAAGAAATACCACTACCTGTGTCTATTTGAAAATTTATCGGCATTTTTTCTACCAATATTTCTAAATTGAATTTATTATCGCAAAAAATATTTTGGTTATTTATATTAAGTAAACAATTCAAAGTACCTGAGCTATCAATACCCATACCTTCTCCTAACTTGTTTACATTTTTGTTTTGGCTCAATTTGTTTATATCGGACATGCAAAACATTGAAATATCATCTTCATCATCACTCTCTCTGTTTACATTTTCAGCCTGAATATAGTTGTTTCTTTTTTGTTGCCCAGAATGTTTACTTTTACAAATAGCAGCTAAGTGACCAGGTTTTTGACAATGTAAACAGATTGAGTTTTTGTAAAAACACTTATCTTTTGAATGATTGTTCCGTCCACATACATCGCAGGCCCTGTTGAGTTGCTGTCGCCCCATTTGTTGTTGTTGGTATTGCCTCCTGTCACTCCTGCCTCGGCTGTCATACCCTTGTCCGCCATACTTGACATATCCAACTCCATTGCTGTCACGGTTGTCACGCCCTCTGAGGTGGTTGACAGGCTCCGTTTTGACAGTGACTTCCTGCATCTCCTGCGCCGCCATCTTGGTAGCCGCAACTTGCACCATTTTTTCTAGGTTTGCTTCAATTTTTTCTTCCATTAGCCGATCCAAAATGGGTCCTTTTCCAAAGCCAAAGACAAACTTGTCTCTCAAGCAAACTTTTAGCTCCGTGCCAAACGAGCATCCAACAGCTAGGCCTCTCACTCTGGCAGCCCATTTGCTCGGCGTTTCGTCAGGTTCTCGCCGTGCTGAATAAAAAAGGAATCGATTTGCAAACGGCGATTGCTGCGTCCTAAAATGTTCATCGAATATGCTCACTAACTGTGCATATGTCTTCTCTTCTGGCTTGTCGGGACTTGCCAGGTCGAAAATTAATTTGTAGGCGCCTTGATCCAGCACGTTCAATAGAATAGCTCGCATTTTGTCGGCATGGGTTGCAGTTTTTATATCATTTGCCGCGAAATAATTCTCCAGCCTGGCCTTAAAAATCGTCCAATCCGAATTCTGCAGCTGAAACTCGCGCAAATGTCCCACTGCCGCCATATCAGCCATTATCCAAACCGGTTTTCGAGTAAAAACGTGCACTATTTCGAAAATTACTTTCTCGTCCCACACGCGGATAGAAACTTGCACTATCACGGTACCGCAGTTACTGAAATACTGAAAAATTTACGGCTAGCGCTGTAGGTTCGCGTGAAAAATATCCTCGTCGCCAATTTGTAGTGTCTTTTGCCTTTATTTTGTATTATTGTAAAGGGCCGATTGAATAAAAGTCTTTGATATAATTACTGATTTAATTTAATGCTTACTGTTCAGCTAGTAATACCCGAATGGGTGGAAACAGATGACAGATGACAAATCTAAAATATAATGGGTGCGTTCACAATTGCACTCCAAACATTTCAATTAAATACATTACATTTTTATATACCAATAAATGCTTCTATACAATTTCAAACCTCCACAATTGTCCAGAGAATTTTTCTCTAGAAATCACTGTACCATATACGGGTTTGGAGGCTATCTATGTGATTTCCAGTTAATTATCACGACTAAACCTATCCTTTTTTTTTTCAGATGACCATAGACTCTCCGTCTTTACACAATGCCATATAATGGTTTACGAACAGTCACGTATTATCAGGACCGGATTAGATAAAACAATTATTATTATCAATAACAAAACCTGGGAATTAAAAGGGATCAACAAAATGATGTTATCGGACAATGAAGATGACTTAAATGGAATGTTCGACGATATAAATCGACGAGTGATGAATATATGTCTTGTCGAAAGTATTTTAAGTGAAATTATCGAAGATGTTTTGGATTCTTCTTCTGTAGTAGTTAGACAAAAACAATTAAGTGACAATGAGCAAAATCAAAAAAACTCAAATAGAACTACTTCGATTATTATTCAGGATTACGATGATGCCTCTATGGAGTGCGTGAATCGTTTTGTTAATGTAAATTTACAAAGAAGCGTAAGCGAACTACTATTTGTTGACGAAAACGAAAACCATAAAGAAACCAAACAAAAGCCGACCAAGAAAACGAGAAATAAACTTTCGTTCAATTCCATATTCAACAAACTACACAAATCAAAGGAACAAAAACACAACAACGAAGAAGAATCTGAATCGTACGACACATTCCCAGCAACACACAGTTTACCAGAATTCAAAGGCTCTTTGCAAGCATCACGCAAATTCGCGTCAGCCTTAGAACTAGGCAACCCAAAACCAGCAAAAAAGTCATTTTTCAAAAAAATTCTCTCGATAAGCGACAACTCCTCAAGTTTCTTACGAAGATCACTCAGCTTCCGTGACGTCAGTAGAAATAAACCCAAAACGCCATCTGTAGTAGAAGCAAAAAATCAACAATGGCGTCAATCGTTACAATCCCTGGTGGAAAACGACATGAGCGTTAGTTATAAAGATCTGAGTTTTATCAATTACGACGCACTGAACGAATTCAATTACGCCGAACCGGTGAGACTCAAGCCAGGAGTCGGGGCCACATTAGGAGAAACCAGCGGCTATCTGGGTAGGTCACAGAGTATGAGAGAAAAAGGATCACCTGACTTGAGGAAACCTCAGTTTTATAGTCGACACACGTCGGTTACGCCGGATAGTAGGTCTAGACCTGGATCTGTACAAGGTAAGCACCCATTTTTGACAGGAATTATATTTTTACTATTTATTGTGTCTGATGTTCAAGAATAATATCAATTAACCCACTCTTATTTTTTTAAATGAGTTAAAGTAAACTTAACTTAGTGGTTATATAAAGTACTGTCTCTACAATCTCTATGATTTCTATTTTCCATTTTCCTCATCTTTTTCCGCTTTTTTCAAGATTGTTACATTTCTTCATTGCTACAGTTTTGGTGTTATCGAAAATATTTGTTTTGATTAAATTTTTCTGGCCAAACTTAAGGTTATGATTAATAACCAATGACCTTTTTTTTTGTTTGACAGGTAAGAGTATGCCATCTTGTTCTAGGTAGGTACGTGCATAGAAATACCTATACTAATATTTCACCAGGTTGCTGGTCTTGTTGCACTCAGAATCAAGCGCATGGAATTTAATTCGATATGAAAGAGAACATGAAGAATATTAATTGTTTTTGAGTGTATTCGTTTAATATGCTCTCGCAACGGTCAATGCGAACCATTCACCTATCTCTCTTCAACGACTCGGTTACTGAGGGAAAGTTTGAAGCCAGGGGACCCGTCTTCTTCCTGACCCTCTTCTTCCATTCACTTTGCCCTGTAGAATTAATTGAAGCATCTTGAATCTTTGTTTATTCCTCATTATGTGCCCAAGGTATTCAAGCTTTCTGGGCACTTATTCTTGAAACAGGGGAGTAGCGTTCCCAGGAGAATGAGTGTTCTGTCTTTCTCAATGATATGCAAATGATAATAGAAGTAACAAAGACGACACGCTCGCTCCGCTGTTTCAAGAATAAGGACCGTGATCTTTATTGTTTTTAGCATTTCAGTTTCTTTACGAAATCTTTCAAGGACTCTTTTGTTGGTGAAACGATACGGTCTTTCCAGGATAACCTCAAAATACGCCGATACAGCCACATTTCAATGGCTTTCAATCTTTTGCAAGTGGTGTCAGTCAAGGTCCAAGATTCCACTCCATAGAGCAAAACCGGGAACACAGTAATCCAAACTTCATCTGCACATTTAGATGATGCGTTTTAGAAATTTTGGTTGGTTCTATGAATGCTACTCCAGCTTTCTCTATCTATCTATCTATTCAGCCTTCTTCAGTCCATCTTTGGATGTAGGCCTCCCCCAGTCTTCTCCATTCCTCTCTGTCTGTTGCCATGTTCATCCACCTGGTTCCAGCGAGCTTCTTCAGGTCATCAGCATACCTCATCTGTGGTCTTCCTCTACTTCTTTTATTTTCCCAAGGTCTCCAGCTTAAGATACATTTATTCCATCGGTCGTCTTTTTGTCTGATATTGTGACCTGCGAATTTCCATTTTAGTTTTGCTACCTCCTTTCTAACGTCTCTTACTCTCGTTTTATTTCTTATCCACTCGTTCCTCTTCTTATCTATCAGTGTCACATGTAACATTTGTCTTTCCATTGATCTTTGTGCCTTTTGTTATTTTATCCATGTTTGACTTTGTAAGTGTCCATGTTTGGGATCCATAAGTGAGAATGGGAATTATACATTGATTAAAAACTTTGGTTTTGAGGTATTGTGGATATTTTCTATTTTTCAAGATGTAGCTCAATTTGCCGAATGCTGCCCAAGCTAATCTAACTCGTTTCTTGATTTCTGCTGTTTGGTTTTCTTTGCTGAGTTTAATAAGCTGTCCTAGATAGTATATATATTCATCGACTTGATCTATTTTTTCCTGTCCTATTCTGATTGTGATATCATCGTCTGTGTTCGTTATTGTTTTAGTTTTAGCGTAGTTCATATTGAGACCTATGTTTTTAGCTGCTGTGTCAAGTTCTTCCAGCATTTCCGTCAGTTCTTTTTTCTTATCAGTTATTAGGGCGATATCATCCGCGTATCTTAAGTTGCTCAAGTGTTGTCCGCATATTTTTCTACCTTTTTCTTCCCAGTCTAGTTTTTTAAAGACATCTTCCAGGGCCTGGTTGAAAAGTTTAGGTGATATTGTGTCGCCCTGTCTGACACCTCTTCCTATGGGTATTGGTTTTGTTCCCTCATGGATTTTGATAGTTGTTGTTGCTTTGCTATATATGTTGCTTAATAGGTCTGTGTATCTGTAGTCTATTCTGCTATTAATTAATGAGCTCTTCACTGCCCAGTGTTCAACACTATCAAAAGCCTTTTCGAAGACGATAAATGCAATATATAGTGGGATGTGATATTCGTTGGCTCGTTCTATTAGGATTTTCATGGTTAATAGGTGGTCACTTGTACTGGAACCCTTTCTGAAGCCTGTCTGCTCTTACGACTGATAACCATCGAATTTTATTGTTAGCCTGGTGGTGAGAATTTTTGTGAAGAGCTTATAAATTACATCAAGGAGTGTTATGGGTTGATAGTTTTTCAAGTCTGTTCGATCACCTTTCTTATGAAGGATGATTGTTATGGATTCATTCCAGTTATTTGGGATTTTCTTTTCTTTCAGTATTTTATTTAGGAGGATATAGAGAGTATTGATAACCGTTTTTCCACCGTATTTTAGCATTTCTGCCGTGACTCCGTCTTTTCCAGGTGCTTTGCTGTTTTTCATTCCTTTCAGAGCCCTCTTTATTTCCGATTTGCTTATTTCGGGCTGTAGTTCTGGGTTTACATTCTTTATTTTAGTTTGTAGTTGTTTTACGGTTTTTTGCGGTGGTTCCTTTTTTGTTTGATATAGTTCTGTATAAAAGAAATTTGTGGTATTTATGATATCCTCCTTAATATTAGTTTCAACGCCGTTCTCGTCTTTTATTTTATTTATTTCTTCCTAGTGTCGGTCTTAGGCATTTCATATTCCTGTTATTCTCTATGACTCTTTCTATTTCTATTTCTTGGTTCTTTCTTTTGTTTTCTTTTATCATTTTCCTGATGGTCTTATTGATTTCTGTGTATTCTATCGATTTCCTTTTCCCTTCTTCGTTCAGTTTCCGCCTTCTTTCCATGAGTTTCTTTGTCTCTTCTGATATGCAATCTTCCTTCTTTTTATCTTTTTGTGCGATTTCTTTTCCTACCCTAACCATGGTTTCCGCTAATGTATCGTATATTTTATCTATACTTTCATTATCGCTGTTCAAGTTCTGGGTCAGTTGTTCCTTCAGTCTTTCTTTGTATATGGTTTTATTTTGTGCAAGTTTGGTCATGTCTAGTTGTCCCTTGTTTCCATTAGTTTTTCTTTTCATTTCAAAGTGGTCATCGATACGTATTTTTGCTCTGACCATTCTGTGATCGCTGCCTGTGGTGAATCTGTTCAGGACTGTTACATCTTTAATAATATATTTTTCAGTGGTCAGTATGTAGTCAATTTCATTTCTCGTTGTTCCATTAGGGCTGAGCCATGTCCACTTTCTTTGCGGTTTCTTCTTATAGAACGAGTTCATCGCATATAGATGTTTTTCTTCTAGATAGTTCATCAAGGTAGTTCCCCTATCGTTCCTCTCACCGTATCCAAAGTCCCCTATTTTATTCTCTTCTTTATTCAGTTTCTTACCAAGTTTGACATTGAAATCTCCAATTACTAAAGTAAGGCGGGTTTTATGTTCTTCCATAGCCTTTGAGATATCTTCATAGAATATTTCGATGCTCTCGTCGTCGTACACTTGAATAATTTTAAGCGATGTTCTTTTCATTTTAAGTACGAGATAAGCAACCCGATCTGAGACTCCCTTGATAGTTTGGACGTGTTTACTTATCGCTTTATTTATAATAAATCCTACTCCAAAGTTACTGTTGTTTTCGTTACCTTTGTAGTATAGCAGGTTACCGGAGTTCAATTTTATTCGATTTTCTGTTTTTCTTCGAGTTTCTGACAAGCCTACTATGTCCCACTGTATTCTTGTCAGCTCTTCCTCCAGTTCATGTATCTTTTCGTCAGTGTTCATTGATCTTATATTGTATGTTCATATTGTTAGGTTGATCAGTTTCTGTGATTTTTGTTTTGTTAGTCGTTTTCGTGGGGTTTTGATCTTTGTTGGGAGCGAATTTTTGCCTCCCCCAGATTCCGTGAGGCAGACCATAGAGGTGTGGGAGTCGGAAAATTTCCCACCCACCTGGGGACCAGTTCCATTTGTTTTAAAATTCGCCATGGTATGTAAAGGGGGGTAATGGCAAGTAAAACACCACGCTTGCCAGGCGGGTTGGTGAGTTTTGATTCAGCCGCCCATTCTGGGACAGACGCTGTTTTCAGCCGCTCACTCTGAGGCAGACGCTGCAGTGCTAGTTTTGGTTCGCCCCGGGTATTTAATTTCCCCGGTACTACTCATATCTGAGAGGCATTCCTCTATCCGCCACCTGGGGAGGCGCCCGATGGAGGACTAGCAAACCTCACACGAGCGAGCTTTCTCTATACGGCATTTAATTTCTTGGGAGTGATTTCATTGGTTATTGTTACTGATGCTGAGCTAGTTATACCCTTCAACTTTCTCAATATTTTGATTATTAACTACTAAGGGGTCAGGTGGTGCTATAGGCTACCAATAATCATGTATTTTTAGGTTAGGTTTTTTAAATATTAAGGTCACTTCCAAACTGTTCCCTGATAGCCACTCTGTTTATTAGCTGTTGTAATCGCTCAAGACTGTCTGAAAAAATTACCGGTAATTCCAGAAGTTAACTTTAAGTTAACTCTCAAAGTAGTTTTATAATACCCGCCCTAAGAAGTTTATGCTTTGTTAGAAAAGATGTTAGTCTAACTTGAATTAGTTTTTCTCATATCTTTGAGACGGTAGGAAGTAGTGCAATGGGTCGAAAATTAAAAGGTAGGTCGCGATCTCCACACACGAAAGTATCTATATTTTGCTTTAAACATACCATAGCCTAGTAATACCATTGTGAAAAATGAAATAAAAAAACAGCGTGGGGAATTGAGCACAAGACCAAATAAGTTTTATGTGGAAATGGATTGCTGAATGCAAACATCAGGAAAATTCCGGATGGACCAAGATACAAGCCAGAGAATATGAGAAAAAATATATGTTGAAGAACGAAGTCGGAATCATTACAATTGGCACATAATATAATACTCTTGCAACGCCCCTTGTATTAAGTCAAAATTCTAACCAATGAATCTATTTAGTGCAGTGCTGTACACATTTTTTTTTTCCTTTAAGAGGGGCGTTTAAATAAAATGTCATTTACAGACCTTCACAAATTTCTCCTCTATTCCAAATTTAGACCACTTCTCAGTAAAATGAAGTTATGTTCATAACAATAATAGATTGGAGTAGGAGTCGACGCATTTTTGGTTGCAAAATACGTAGTCTAAATACTAAAATTATTAACAATTTTGTTGACAAAAATGTGCAAATTTTGGTCATGGATTTTAATGGAAAAGGGACGAATACCTAAAGTAGCACAGCAACAATAAATTTCCAAAATTTCGGATAGTAAAATGCTGGAAAAAATGAATAGGGCAGAATTTTAATGTTTTTATCACAAAATTAATCAAAATCTGCAACGAGGTGATTGCTGTCATTTTCAGCAGAGACTCAAACCAAACGTGTGTTCAGCGCCTCTCTAAAAGATGTCGCTGAGTTCGGGAAGGGTAGTCACTTCTTTCAAACGCCAGTAAAAACTGTTTTACCTAGCTAAAAATGTGAAATACTATCATTTCATTTGCATCTGAAAAAAATTATTTCGTCCACTGTAAATTACTGTGTAAACGAATTGATTGATATCGAAGATGTCGCCATCTACTTCTAAATAAGTCAATCACCTACAGAGAATTTGAAAACCTGTGATTAAAAAATATTTAATAAGTAAATATATGTTATAAAGCCCAAAAGATGGCGCGCCGGCTCTTATCTGACGCCCCTCTTAACAGTTTATTAGAACTATCATGTTCATGTCATAAGCCGCTTTCCAGCTGACGCTTTTGAGCACGCAATCGAGCTTTTGCGCGCGCAAATACTTCAAACGCGTGTTTGTGTTCCAGCCGTACTGCGCTTCGAGAGCAGGTAACTTTTGCGTTTCGAACACAGAACACTCTGCTGCACCGTGCTTGAAGCACACAGCTGGAAAGCGGCTATTGTGTTCACTACTGATTTATCAATCTGACACAATTTTGATATTACCAGTGTTGTCAAACAAGTAAAATTTTGACACATTACCAGGGATGTTTATATAGTATGTGCCAATTGCAATTCTCACTGTAAAATAGTGAAATGATCTCAGAACAAATCAACTGGTAGGCGCATGTTTAACGGATAGAGTATAACAATAGAGTACCAGAACGAATCCTATGTAGTGGAGACTAGAGCCTAAATAGAGGAAGGAATGAGGAAGACCTATAACAAGCTGGAGAGAAGGCTTAGATAATGAAATTCGTAACAGAGCGCTAGATAAGGGATTCCATATTGTTGATGGAAGTTTTCTTCTTTCTGCTCTTGTGCATTAGTGCTTTGTGTGCCATTCATCATCCATGGTCCAGTATCTTCAATAACAAGCTTGCCTATTTTGTCTACCATGAGTTCATCCTTCATATTTTTATTCTGTATCGGCTCTTAAGTTATCTGATGATGTTCTTATAAGCAAGTTTTACTTCATCTTGAAGTTTTCTCTTAGTTATCCTAAAGCCGACGAACTATTTCATTGATAGTTTCTTCAGGGTTATTCAAAATTCACCCACCAGTCGACCGTACTCTAAAGATACATGTATATTAGCAAATAAACTGGTTTATTTACGACTAATGTATAATGTGCGTATTATATTTGTGATTTTGGCAGTATAATGACATATGTTATTCCTCCAGGGATTAATGACGAGTAGCGGGATTAATGGTCATTATTCCACAAAAGTGTCAGTGTCAGACGTGTAGTGCTTGTGGATTTGTATTGAAAATTATGAGACGGATGAAATTTGTTCATTGAAAATCTCAAATAAATTAATTTGTCGTAAATAAAGTAGAGTATACTACTCGCAATAATGGCTATTATTCTCTCGGAATGTTACTCCCTCGCCGCTAACGCGGCTCAGTTCGTAATAATCCTCGGGAATAATAGCTATCATTATGGACTCGTGGTATAATCTACTATTCCAATCGTTTAGTTAATTTGATTTCTGACTCTATTTTCTGGTGTGCTTTTGGGAAAAAATCATGTAATAAGTCTTCTTGTGGACACTGTAAAATATTTCTGCTTCGTATGATTTTTTAGTTAGCATCAAGATATTAATTAATTTAACTGGGATAGAATTTAATTAGTCATTAGTGTTCTTACATGAAGAGGAAGTTATGTTTCTTAAAGAACATATTTTCAGATTTGAAACGTACCACATCAGCAGTATCTCTGCCGATTTTCTGTCACTGCAATCAACGCAACAGTGAACCTTCTCTACGTCAGAGCTTGTTGAGTGTCGAGTAAGTAGACTCGAAACTTTAAAAACTCTTGTAATGCGGTTTCCTTATTACACACAGGAATCCCGAAAAACCTCTCTCCGAAAAGTGCCAAAGCACCAACAGCATTCGATCATCGGACAGTACTACCGGAAGCGGAATCATTGCTTACGTAAAACTGGGACGACATAATGCTACAAGGCAAAAGTACCGACATGCTTCAACTTTTAGCGAAAGAAGTCTATGGATTCCTGACGCCCACGTCAAGGTAAGAACTATTTAGATAAAACTAACGAGATCATCTATTAATAAGTTTGGCAACATTGCACTTTTATCTGCGACCGATCAAGTATGTGTTTACGTGGCAATTTGGTGCATCTTTTTGAAAATAGAACTTCTAGTCGATAATTCTGTTATTCAAAAGAGTTACCTTGTGCACATATATTAAGGGCAATCTACTGATAGATTCAAAGATGCCCTTGGTTGACATGTAACAACAATTTCATTTTTGACGGGAACAATTAAAAATTCATAAAATTTCTTGATAATTCTGTCAACATAGCATTTATTGGAGTTACATGATTTCAAGGTTTATTCTAACCAATCACGACTGAGCGAATTTTTTAAAGAAATTCACTGAATCCCTGATTCGACAAGGTGTTTACATGGCGTATTTTTGAAATAATCTCCCGTCATTATTAAAACATAAAGTTGTGAGCAGTGCGTGTAATTTATACTCGCAAAGTAATTAAAACGTGTTCACCTTTAAATTTGTAATAAATATTAAAACAAAATGATAGCTTTTTGGATCCCTTTCACATCCCAACAGAGTCGAATTAAATATCGTTAAAAGGTTTGTATTTACATATACAATGGTAAAGTTCACTACAAATGGATGGTCATTGAAGTTTAGCTTTTCGTGTCAATGTTAACTTAGATAACATAAATAGTCAGAATCTATATTCTAATTCTGGAACTGTCGAGGGTCTCTATTATTTAATAATAGCTATTTATGTAACCAGCTGCGTAAAGTCGCATTTGCATTATTAATCAAAAACGTCAAATACTAATCTCTTTAGTTTTGTTTCACGAGCAATTGTAGCTATTCAGTTTAGTCCGCGATTTTATGTTAAAAAAAGCTTCAAAATTCAGTTTTCAGGTCCCATGAGGTAATGTGGACAAAGCAGCAAAAATCGGGATACAAGCTGTGATTCCCGAGAAATACAAATTAAGTATGATTAAGTATTCAATAATAAATGACTAAAAAAAAAACCGGGTCAACTCCTCAACGAGAAGGTTTTGTTAGCCTATTTCCAGGGTGAACAGAATATGAAAATCTGTACCCACACTGTGGTAATTTTCGATGTTAAGTTGTTTTACATCATCGTTCTAACAGTGATGAATGCTAATTATATTTTCGATTCAGAAACTTGTATTTTAAAAAACATTTATTTTATTGATTAAAATACAGAGGTGACAGAAGAAAATATTCGGATCAAATTGCTACAGGCTAAAGCCAGAAAACAAATGAACGTTCCTTATGGGACGGCATCGGCTTAAATAAACATTTAATGCCGACATAGCAATTTGATGTTTACTTTACAACAATGTATTTAAAAAGTCCTAGAGGAAAGGGGTAAGCACATTAAAGCATATACAAAAAATAGATAATTGATTATAAATCAGCATGGTAATTAGTTAATATAACTCCTCCCTCCTTAAGATGTTGCAAACGTGGATTGTTGTGAATTCAAATCAGACAATTCAATTTGCACATTTGCACAACCTTTTTCTGAAGTTTTATATTTCCTAAAACAGTAAAATAGTAAAATTAAAAATAAAATAGCAAGACTTAAACCTATGATTATAAAAAAAATACATATGTGTTTAAATAAGAGTGTTCAAAAGACAATTCTTTTAGATTATGAACTCTTATTTGTTTCGTCGTCTTGAAGGCTTCTTCTAAGTCTTCTTGTTTGTTTTCTTGAAGTTCCAATGTTGTTGCGTTCTCTGGAAGTTCAGGGATGTCTATTCTTGGAATCTTCAGTTCAAAATTGAAGTTCTCGCTGGTTTTTGAAAATGTTTGTTTTTGTATTTTCACAAAGCATTTTTCAAACGAAACTAGCGTTGGATTTGTTATTATTTCCATATGGTTTGTCTTGTCACATTGAATAACTATGGTCAGGCTTTTCTTAGGAATGACTAATAATTGTCCATTCGGGAGTTGTCTCACTGTTGGTTTTCATATTTCACTTTAGTGAAAGGACATTGTTGTGGTAGGTCAGTAATCAGGTCGACACATGATTCTTCTTGCTTCAGCTCTTCTTGGTTACAAAGGTACACACTTTCGACTTTCGGGCATTCCCATAACGTATTGTAGTAAATGTCCGTAGTAAGTAATAGGTAAGGGTACTTATTCCTAATGGTAAGTTCTTGGATAGGAATTGGATAGATTTTATACAATATAAAGGGCTTGGGATCGATCATTGGTGTGTGTATAACAGATATAATTAACTCATTTTGGATTTTTACTTGAGTTTTCATTGTCTCATAATACTTGATTTTATTATCAAAAGGTATTTGCTGACTTTTGGGTATATTTGTTAATATTTGATTTAATTCATTATGCTGTAAAATAGTATAATGCATTATTCCCAATTGTGCAAAATTTATTGCTAGTTGCACATGATCAATAAGATTCCTTATTTTATTACATTGAATATTGATATTGTTCAATATTAGATTGAAAGTTAACATTGATTGGAAATTTTGGTTTTCCAAGGAAATATTTTGTAATTTTCCTGTGATAACCTTTTGGTTAGATTCAATAGTTAAAAATTGATCGTGAAATGTTTTTGTAACTTGTTTCAATACTTGAGCTTGTGTTTTTAGATCTTCATTGAGAGTCTTTTGATTATCATTAAGCGTCTGGATATAAGAATCATATCTTGCGCCATCTTCAGCATCTAGGGTTCCGTAGAGCCATTTTTGTGCTGTGCCCATGAAATTTAATAGACTTCTTTTATTACGTTTTCGGTCTTGATAGGTTCTGATTACTTGTTTCATAATCTTAATTTGAGAATGACTGTTTTCAATATTTGTTTGAAACAGTGCAACAAATTGGTTTGACCATGTTGTTTTTTTAAGAGTGTCAGATAATTTCATTAAGGTGATTTCCAGTTTATGGATACTTTGTATGATAATTGTCGTGTTTATGTGATAATAGGCCGTGTTATGTTGAGTTGTTACGTAAGTAGTTCCTAAAGAAATTGGTAAAATAGGATTTTCTACCGTCATCAATGTATACGCTTGGGTGACTCCAACGAGAGTTAAGAATACTAATGGATTCATCTCGGAGTACCTGAAATAAATTATTGTCGTTCAACATTTTGTTTAGCAAAGCGATTCTGTGTTTTGCTATCATAACGCGGACTTATCTTGTCTCTATTAAATTGTTTTACAAAGATTGGATCTTGTAATTCTGGTTCAGGTTCGCGATTTTTATTACGTGATTCTAAAGAATTTGTTTGTTTCGCTAATAATTTTTCTTGAATTTCGCAAGGGATTCTGCCAAACTTGTTATATAGTCAGTTGTTAGTTTATTTTCCGTTTGTTCAATCGGTATGGCATAATTCAAATCTCCTTTAATCACTTGAAAAGGGGTGTGATTCATTGTACTATGAGTACTGTTGTTATAATTCAATATAGCGATTGTCATTAGATCGATAATACTTTTATTTGGGTTTTGGAGTTTTAAACTCGTTATACTTTCACGTAGTGTCGAATGGAAACGTTCGATTGGACTATTCGAGTTCGGGTTTCTTGGAGTTGTGTAATGAAACTCAATTTTGTATAATGTACAAAGATCTGTCATTATAGCATTTTTGAACTCTGCTCCATTATCTGATGTGATTTTTTGAGGTATTCCATGATCACTAAAATATTTCAATACCTGTGATGATATCTCAACAGCTGTTTTCGTATTTACAGGAGAGGCTTGACCAAATTTTGAAAAGCTATCTATAATGGTCAGAAATTTCTGGTTATTGATTATATACGTGTCAATATAAATATGTTCAAAGGGTTTCATACCAATAGGTGTTGGTTTGAATATGATTTTGTATGGTTGACGTTCATACTTGGTTTTATTGCATATCTCGCATACTTTGACATAATTCTGTACGTCTTTCTCGATATTGGGCCAATAAAATCTGCAATCTGCAACATTTTCAGTGATTCCTCTATGAGAGGTTTTAGTCTCATGATATTGCTGAATTTTCTCTTGTTGAAGATCAACTTCTGTGATGTCTTCTAATAAAGAGTTCGAGATGTACAAAGTAAATGAATTCGAATTAAACGATTCTTGTAATGCTCGTATCACAATAGGTTCTAAAGATTTATTTAGGAAATGAAGGCAACAAATACCAGGTGGCATGTATTCCTTTACTAAATTAGTAATTTGTGATGTTGTTGGATTATTTGGTAAGAAGAATATTATTCTCTTTTTATTACCAAATAGTTTGATTATCTCTTTTCTAATTGTGATATTATTGGAATATCGAAATACAATTTGATTTCCAAATACATTTACATGTTTCTTAGTATATGGAGCTCCTAATATTGGATTTTCCATAGACGTATGTATTGTTTGGTCATTTTCAGACAAGGCTGAAATTGTTGAAGAACGATTAGTTGGTGTTATTTGTCTATTACTTTTTTGAGTTTTCGAAGATTTTCCGATTTCTATGGGAATTTCTTTTTTCTCTTTTCTTGGAGGTATTATTAGTTGTGATAATATCTTTATTTTGTGTTTTACTTTCTTAGGTTCCTCTTCAGGTTCCTTGATGCTGTTTTTGTTAATTGAGATGATTCAGACATTGTTATCTCTTTTTCTTTAGCTATCTCGCTTTGTTTAGGAAGATATACTTTAGAATCTGTAAAGTATTTTGCTATGATTTCATCATTACATAATGGTGTATTCAGCATTAATCCTAATTTTTTATGAAATTCTTCATCTGAAGATGTTAATCTGGCATCTGGATCTGATTTTTGAATGGCATGAGAATTCTTGATAGTGCGTCTGCATTCATGTTTAATGTTCCTTTTTTGTATTTGATCTCATAATCAAATTCAGATAGTTTTAGTCGCCATCTGACTAGTTTAGAACTTGGTTCTTTAACATTAAATAGCCATTGTATAGGTTTGTGATCTGACAAGATTGTGAATCTTCTACCAAAAAGATAAGGTCGAAAATATTTTGTTGCCCAT